ATTATGTTGGCTTGGCCTACCCATGAGCAGTTAATATTTTTATAATTGTTTAGATCTGATTTTATTTGTGTGAAAAGTGTTTTGTAATTGTGTTCATATAGTTCTTGGGTTTGTCTTGGCCAGTAGACTCCCCAGTATTTTATATTGTCTGCAGTTATTTTAAAAGGAATTTTTCCTGCTGCTGTACCTTGTTGGTAATATGTAGAAATGCTGATGATTTATGTGGGCTTATTCTATATACTATAACTTTGCTAAAGATGCTAATTATTTTAGCTATTTTTTAGTTGATTCTTTAGCATTCTCTAAGTATACCATCATATCATCTGCAAAGAGTGATAATTTTGTTTTCTCATTGCCTATTCTGATTCCTTCAATTTTTTTTCTTCTCTTATTGCTAAAGCTAACATTTCTGGTCCAGTTTTGAATAATAGTGGTGATAATGGGCATCCTTGCTTCACCCCTGATCTTACTGGGAAGGTTTTTAGCTTAATCCCATTACAGATAAAGCTTGTTGATAGTTTCAGATAGATATCACCTATTATTTTAAGGAAAACTCCACTTATTCCTGTGCTCGCTATTGGTTTTAATAGGAATGGATGTTGTGTTCTATCAAGAGCTTTTTCTGCATCTGTTGAGATAATCCTATGATTTCAGTTGTTTTTTTTAATTTATATTATGCTGATAGTTTTCCTAATATTGAACCAGTCCTGCATTCCTGGTATAAATCCCACCTGGTCATAGTGTATGATCCTTGTGATATATTGTTATATTCTCTTTGGTAGCATTTTACTTGAAATTTTTGTGATAATATTCATTAGGGAAATGGATCTATAGTTTTCTTCTGTTTTGGCTCCTCCTGGTTTAGTATCAGCGCCATATTTGTGTCATAAGAGGAATTTGTTAGGACTACTTCCTTGCCTATTTTCCCAGATAATTATATCTTGTAAGAGTTAATTGTTCTTTAAATATCCGGTAGAATTCACTTGTAAATCTTTCTGGCCCTAGGGTTTTTTTCTTAGGGAGTTCATTGATGATTTGTTCAATTTCTTTTTCTAAGATTGGGTTATTTAAATATTTTATTTCACTTTCTGTTAATGTAGGTAACTTATATTTTTGTAAGTATACATCATTTCACTTAGATTGTCGCATTTATTGGCATACAGTTGGGCAAAATAGCTCCTGTTATTGCTTTAATTTTCTTTTCATTGGTGATGAATTCACCCTTTTCAGTTTTGATACTGGTCATTTGGTTTTCTTGTTTCTTTTTTTTTTAAATCAAATTAACCAAAAGTTTATTATTTTTTTCATAAAACCAACTCCTACTTTTATTTGTTAGTTCAAACATTTTGTTACTTTCAGTTTTATTAATCTCTCTTTTGATTTTCAAGATTTCTAATTTGGTGTTTAATAGGGATTTTTAATTTGTTCTTTTTCTATTTTTTTTAGTTGAATGCCAGATTCATTGATCTGCCCTTTCTCTATTTTATTGATGTAAAGTGTTTGGAAATATAAATTTTCCCCTAAATACTACTTTGGCTGCATCCCATAAACTTTGGTATGTTCTCTCGTTGTATTTCTCTTTAATGAAATTTTTTTTTTTTAAGTTGGGCAATGGGGGTTAAGTGACTTGTCCAGGGTCACATAGCTAGTAAGTGTTATGTGTCTGAGGCTGGATTTGAACTCAGGTCTTCCTGAATCCAGGGCCGGTGCTCTACCTAGTGCTTTAATGAAAGTATTGATTGTTTCTATGACTTGTTCTTTGACCCACTCATTCTTTAGGATGAGATTATTTAATTTCCAATTAATTTTAATCTATCATTTCATGGCCCTTTATTATATGTAATTTTTACTGCAACATGGTCTAAAAAGGATGCATTTAACATTTCTGCCTTTTTGCATTTGTGAGGTTTTTATGTTTTTTTTTTAATACACTGTCAGTTTTTGTATAGGTGTCATATACTGCTGAGAAAAAGATATATTTCTTTCTATCCCCATTGAGGTTTCTCCAAAGTTCTATCATATCTAACTTTTTTAAGATTCTGTTTACCTCCTTAACATCTTTCTTGTTTATTTTGTAGTTAGGTTTACTTAGTTCTGAGAGGGGAAAGTTGAAATCCCCCACTAGTAGTTTTAATGTCTTTCCTTCTGTGATTCATTTAACTTCTTTAAAAATTTGGGTGCTATACTATTTGGTGCATATATGTTTAGCTTTGATATTACTTCATTGTCTATGGTAATTTCCTTCCTTATCTCTTTTAATTAGCTCTATTTTGCTTTTGCTTTGTCTGAGATCATGATTTCTATCCCTGCTTCTTTTTTACTTCACCTGAAGCATAATAGATTCTGCTTCAGCCTTCACTCTGTGTGTGTGTGTGTGTGTGTGTGTGTGTGTGTGTGTGTGTGTGTGCGTGCCTGTCTGCTCACATTCACCCATGCACATTTAAAATGTGTTTCTTGTATTAAAAAAAAAAACCCCATAGAATTCTGGTTTTTATTCGACTCTGCTATTTGCTTCTGTTTTATGGGTCAGTTCATCCCATTTACGTTCACTGTTATGCTTACTATGTATTTCCCTCCATCCTGTTCTTCTCCTGTTTATACTTCTCTCTCTCTCTTTCTCTTTCTTTCTCTCTTTCTCCCCTTTCTCCCTGTTCCTCCTTACCAGTGTTTTCCTTCTGACCACTGCCTCCCTCATTCTTCCCTCCCTTCTATGGTACCCCTTCCCCTTTTCCTGTTTCCCTCCCCTCCTTTTTCCATTTAGAGTAACGTAGATTTCTATACCCAACTGAGTGTGTATGTTATTCACTCTTTAAGCCAGTAAGATTCAAGTGATGTGCTCACCCTCCCTTCTTTCCCGCTACTGTGTCTATTCATATTAGATAATTTACCCCATTGTACCTCTCCCTTTTCTCTTCTCCCAGTGCAATTCTCTATCTCCACCTTTAATTTTTTTTTTATATCATCCCATCAAAGTCAGCTTATACCTGTTCCCACTGTCTATGTATATTCCCTTTAACTACCTTAATAGTAATATGGTTCTTAAGAGTTACAAGTATCATCTTCCCATGTATGGAGGTAAACAGTTTAACCTTTTTGAATAACATATTTTCTCTTTCCTGTCTACCTTTTTATGTTTCTCTTGAGTCCTGTATTTGAAAATCTAATTTTCTGTTCAGCTCTGGTGTTTTCATCAGGAATGTTTAAAAGTCCTCTATTTCATTGAATTTCCAATATTTCCTCTTGAAGGATTATGCTCAGTTTTGCTGGGTAGGTAATTCTTGGTTATAGTCCAAACTCTTTTGCCTTCTATAATGTCATGTTCCAAGCCTTCCACTCCTTTAATGTTGAAGCTGTGTAATCCTGATTGTGGTTCCTTGATATTTGAATTCCTTCTTTCTGGCTGCTTGGGATATTTTTTCATTAACCTGACAGTTCTGGAATTTGGCTATAATAATCCTGGGTGTTTTAATTTTGGAATCTCTTTCAGGAGGTAATATGTGGATTCTTTCAGTTACTGTTTTACAGGCAGTTTTCCTTGTTAATTTCTTGAAAGATGCTGTCCAGACTTTTTTTTTTTGATTGTGGCTTTCAGGTAGTCCATTCATTCTTAAATTATCTCTCTTTAGTCTATTTTCCAGATCAATTGTTTTACCAATGAGATATTTTACATTTTGCATTTTCTTCCTTTTTTTTTATTCTGTTGATTTTGTTTGATTGATTCTTGATGTCTCATGGAGTTTCCACTTGCCCAATTCTAATTTTTAAGGAATTATTTTCTTCAGTTAGCTTTTGTGCCTCCTTTTCCATTTGACTAATTCTACTTTTTAGAGAGTTATTTTCTTCACTGAATTTTTGTATGTGTTTTTCAATTTTCGTGCTTCCTTTACTAAGCTGTTGACTCTTTTTTCATGATTCTCTTACATGTCTCTCATTTCTTTTCCCAGTTTTTCTTCTACATCTTTTATTTAATTTTCAAAATCCTTTATTAGCTGTTCTGGGAGTTCTATTTGGATCCGAGACCAATTTAGATTTCTCTTTGAGAATTTGCATGATATTGTTGTCTTCTTCCGAGTTTGTGTTTTGCTCTTCCCTGTCACTATAGTAGCTTTCTATGGTCAGGGTTTTTGTGTTTTGGGTTTTGGGGGGGATGGGGGGGATGCTTATTTTCCTGTCTATTTCATAACTATGATTTCAAGTTGAAATCTACTCCTGGGGTACAGGGGTCACTGTCCCAAACTTCTTGCACTGGGGACCTAACCCACTGTCCTGCTGCACCAGGGTCTCTGGGCCTGGACATTTCACCTGCTGCATCAGGGATACCAGCTCTGCTAGGCTTGGCCACTTGCCTGCTGCACCAGATGCTGGAGGGATTCGTAGCTGGCCCACTAGACTGCGGGCCTGCTGTGTCAGGTCTGTGGGGCTTAGGCTGGTAACCTCTACTGGGGCTAGGAGACCCCTACTGGCTTGCCCAGACATTATCTGCACTGGGCTGTGCTCCCCTATTATTCACGTGAAGCAGACCTTCCTGCAAGTCATAACTTATCTTGGGCTGGAAAATTATTTCACCTCGTCCTTTTGTGTGTTCTGCCAATCCAGAATTTGTTTTGAGCCACTAAAGTTGTTTGGAAGGGAATTTGGGAGAGCTTAGGCAAGTTCTTGCCTTTTCTTTGCCCCCAAAGTCTCTTTTAATATAAGTGTTTAAGAGTAATTGCTGGCAGCAAGTTCCTCCTTGTTCCCGGTGTACATCTTCTTGGCTACAGTTTAAGCTTTAGAATCATCGACCTTATAGCTAAGAAGAACCAGATATGTCATCTAATCCAAACTCTTCATTTTACAGATGAGGAATCTAGGGCCCAGGAAGTTTAAGTGAATTACCAAGGTAGTTAATGACTTAGATTTGAACCTAAGTTTTCAGACTCCACACTTACTGTTTTCTCTAGTATACCACATTTCACTCTTGTTACACAAGTCTTCAAATACCATTTACTTTTTCTTTATAGAACAGTTGAAGAATTCAGACACTTTACCTGTATATGATGTCCTAATGTTTTGTGCAAGTAAGAATACGGACAGAATTCACCTCTATACTAAGGTAAGATTTGCTGGGATATTTGGCATATTTTTTTGTCTTACTTTATTTCACATTTTAGTAAATATGCTTGATATGCTTTCTAGTATACCATTAGTAGGTTTGTGTTTGTATTATTTGACCCTTCAAGGTTTATAAAAGGTTTGAAATTTAAAATGTCTTTTAAATTCCATGACAACCCTTTACAGACAAGAACTGAAGTTTTTGCTGTCTTTTTTGTGCAGATAAGGAAATGAGGTTCAGAGCAGTGATGTCAGAAATTAGCTGAATGTCAGAGGTGGGATTAGGACCTAGGTACCCCCTTGACTTCAATTCCCAGCCCTCTTTCTGCTACATAATGTTGCCTCAGATTCTCTTCCATTCCCCTGTTCCCACTCTCAAATTCTTGCCTTAAAATGAGGCAAATGGTCTCAAACTACCTACTATACTACTATGTATATTTAGGTGATCTTTTGTCTATAACAACATACTAATACTATGGATGTTTCCTGTTTAGTTTTTGATCTCAAATTACCAACTAATCATAAATGCAGTACCTTCCTAACAACTTGGGTTGCTTTTACTTTTTATTAGACACATATTGGAGTTATGAATTTTTGAAATTGATAATCTGTAATAGGGCATTGTAGCTGATCTGAAATTCAGTTGTAGATTGTTTTGTTTTGCTTTGCTTTGACATTTATATTTTCACCAACTTAGAAAATTTTGACTAACTCTTTGGGAAATCATAGCAAGAGACAGTGTGACATAGTATAGATAGAGAGCCAGCCTTGGAGGACCTGAATTCCAATCCTTCCTCTAAAACCCTGTGTCACTCTGGACAAATTATTTAACCACTTAGTGCTCTAGGCACTTCATTAAGTTCAAGGAGTTGAAATCACATATCTATTCCCTTTCTTTATAATCATAGTACTACTTTATCTGGCATCACAAGCATCCTTTTAAAAAAATACCAAGTTTTTTTCTATCACCTTTGATTCCTAATGTATCCTTCCCCTACCCAGAGTTATCCCTCATAACAAAGTATATGAAGAGGGAAAAAAGTTCAGCAAAACTAACCAATATATCTTCTAAGTATTGTATGTTGTGTTGGCACCAATTGTTTACTATTTACGCAAAGAAAGAAGGGAAAGGTATTCTCATGTGTCATTATAATTTAACAGCATTCGGTTTCATTTTGTTATTGTTGTTATTTCCATTTATTATAGTCACCATATATATTGGTCTTCACATGTGAGTGGGATTGAGACCACTTACCCAAATAAAAATTCAGAGGTTTCTCTCAGTAGAAATAGAAGTTTTATTCTAGCAAGTCTCACTCAGGAATTGGGCATCACCTACCCAAGATGGACTGGATTAGGGAGGCAGGATACAAGCAGCAAGCAAGCAGTTATATACCCCTAGTCAAACAAATTCTAAGAAAACTCCCCCCTCCCACCTTTTAAGCTGAATTTCTTTATCCCCGTTGGTTGAGGCAAGAGACCTTACAGTCTATATTTATAACCCAAAAGATACATTTTACCCAAAACAAGCTTGGGAGCTAGAAGATTGCCTTATTTGGCAAAGATAAGTCTGGGGTGGTGGTTACAAAGCAAGGGAGGGGGTGGGCAACAGAAATATGACCCGATCACATGATTTACAGGAAAACAAAACTTAGGCACAGCAAAGGCTTTAAGCCTTACCTTAAATTTTGGGGCATAGCTTCCATTTCATATGAGAAACTTTCACTTGTCCCACACACATGCTTCTCTGGTTGTATCATATTCATCATTTCCTGTAGTGCAGTAATATTCTGTAAAATTCAAGTTCTACAACTTGTTTAGCTTCTCCTTAATGGATGGGCATTTACTTGGCTTCCAGTTCTTTGCCACTGCAAAAAGGGCTGCCATAAATAGTTTGGCATGTATGGAATATTTGTTATCATTCATCTCCTTAGAATATTTATACCTAGCAGTAGGGTTTTAGGTATGGACTTTTTAATCACTTTCTTAACGTAATTCTAGGTTGCTTTCCAAAATGGTTGGAACAGTTTACAGCTCCCCCAATAATATATATTAATTAGTTTACTTGTCTTTCCATAACTTTTCCAGCATTCCTACCTTTTGACATCTTAGCCAATTTGCTGGATATGAGATGAAATTTCAGAGTTATTGTGATTGGCATTTCTTGTATTATTGGTGATTTGATACATTCTTTCATAATGGCTGTTAATAGTTTACAATTCTTAATAGTTTGCAATTCTTTTTTTAATAGTAGTAGTTAATAGTTTATATTTCTTCTTTTTAGGATTCTTTGTTCATATCTATTAGGCAATGGCTTTTGATTTTATTTATTTGTGTTCCCTATATATCCTGGATATCAACCTTTACTTAAAACGTGGTATGAGGTCCACAAGTGTTGTACACTGATCAGGTTTTCTGATTTGTTCAAAGTATTAATAATACTGATTTTCCCTTTTTTTTCTTAATGAAGTGCTACTTATTACATGGTATGGTTTCCAGGGAGAAACTATAGTGATATTTTTTTAAAAAGACACAAAAGATAGCAATAAAAACCTTTTTTAAAAGGTCTCTTTAAAAAAAAGTGATACATAGGGTTCCCCCTATATCATACCAGTTAAAGCAAATATTTTCGATTTAACATTATCAGAATTATTTTGTGTGTGTGTGTGATACCCCATGTTTGATGAAGAGTGATCTTCATAGCCTTAGCTGTGAAAGGTTCTTGATCTGGTTCTCTTCTAACTTTTTATATAGTATGGCTAATAGTCAGGCCATGTATTCATTTTGTGCTTATTGTGGTAGATGGTGTAAAATGTTGGTCTAAAACTAATTTCTGTCAAACTGCATTTCATCTCCCCTAGGAATTCAGGAATTCTTGTACAATAAGATCTTCTGCAAGTAATATATGTTCTCCAGGAAGTTATCAAACACTGGATTATTGAATTCAATTTTTATCTGACTCTTCCTTATCAACTCTGTTTCAAAGATCTGCTTTTCTATTTTGTTTTTAACAATAGCAAGTTATTTTGATGATTACAGTTTTGTAGGATAAATTGAAGTATACAAATGCTATTCTCTCTTCCTTGTTTCTCATTTTTTAGTATTTTCCATGAGATTCTAGATCTTTTGTTCTTCCAGTTGAATTGCTATTATCAAGCATTTTAAAATTAGCCAAAGCTGTTATTGTATTTTTTGTTTTTATTCATAAATCAGTTATTTTGAGTAAATCATATTAATTCATATCCTTGTCTCTGATTTTATGTGCTCACTTACATGACTGGCCTAAAAATTTACATAGCATTTTCTCAATTAAAACAGCCTTACGATTATTGTTTATTTTATTTTTGCCATTTTTTAACAGCTTCACCATGGAGATGCTGAGAGCAAGTGGGGGCAGATGGGTACATTCAGGTGGGGAGATTTGTGCCCCAATATAAACCCACAGTTTTTCCCTTTGTATGGGATTCCTTACAGGGCATTGAGCTTTGGGATCAGCTGCCCAGAGCTCCTTTTCTTCTGACTGGTAGAGTACAGTTTCAGAACTGCTAAAGGACTTCCTGAGTTTGAATCTTCTCCAGCATAGACTACACAACTCTAGGCTTATCTTCTCAGTGGCCTAGGCAGCTCCCTACCTGTATAGTTCCATACAATCAGTGTAAGTTGCAGAACAGTTGTTGGTCATCATTTTTAGAAGATGTTTCTTCACTGAGAGCTCCTTAACTTAAGATCTGGACAAAAAAGGAAAGTACCACTTCATAGGCTTGTTATGAAACTCAAATTAATGAATGTAAAGTATTTTGCAAAATTTAAAAGTGACATTTAAATTTTCATAGAATCAGAAGTTTAGAAAGAGGTCTGGAAAGGATTTTAGAAGTCATAGAGCTCAGCCCTCCATTTTCAAATGAGGCCATTCACTGATGGCCAGAGAAATTAAGGTTGCCCAGGATCCAGAGCTAATAAAGGATCTGAAGGTGAGATTCAATCCTAGGTTTCCCTGACTCTAATTCTAGCACTTTATTCATGATGTCAGACTGCCTTACACAAGCGTAATTTTTGTCAAATACATGCCAGGAAGAATTATTAAGATAAATAAGATGTTTTGGTTTTTGCTGTTCTTTGTACAATCAGTTTTCATACATATAGGTTTTCTTTCTTTATGGAAAAAAAAATGCCACTACTGATTTTCAGCTAACTTCCTTACAATGTATGATATTTTTTAATCACTTAAATTCTTGAATTCCATTCATCTGATGAATTCCAAAGATAATCCACTCCCATTTGTCTGTATTGCATAGTATATGCATTATAAATTATTTCTAATGTCCAAAATGTTTTCCTTCCCATGGCTTTGAGGATACTACTTTGTAAACAGTAAAATATTATATAAGTTGATTTTTTGGTATGTTACTAGAATTGTAATGTGAGCTAATTATCTAACAGCAAACTGTAATGAAGGTAGAATTTTCATAACCACCATTTTTTTTTATGCTTCAGACTATTGCCCCCACTCTTTCTGTTTGAGGATGGCAAATCAAGAATAGGCCATTGTGTTATGCTTTTGTTTGTGTGTGTGTGTGTGTGTGTGTGTGTGTGTGTGTGTGTTATACTTTTGAATGATGTTAGAAAATAGCTCACTTTGAAAAAGCACTTTATTGAGTACAAAGTACTTTCATGTGTATGATCTCGTTTCATCCTAACAGCATTCTGTGAGATAAATAATATAGGTATTATTATTTTATAGAGAAAGAAATGAGTTCAGTAATGTGCCAAAGGTCAGCCTGTCCTGTGCCTAAGCTTGTAAAGCTAGTACTTGAACCCAGTTGAACATAGATGTCAGGTCTTTTTCTGCCTCCAAATCCAGTTTCTAGTTAACTTTCCATTATCAAAATGCTCATCTAGTGGAAGTTTGCATATGAAAGTTTCAAGATTTCACTAAAAAATGAGATAAGGAGGGGCAGCTAGGTGGCACAGTGGATGAAGCACCAGCCCTGGATTCAGGAGGACCTGAGTTCAAATTTGGCCTCACACACATCACACTTACTAGCTGTGTGATCCTGGGAAAGTCACTTAACCCCATTGCCTAACAAAAAAAAATGAGATAAAGGGCAGCTAAGTGGCTCAGTGGATAGAGCACGAGCCCTAGAGTCAGGAGGACCTGAGTTCAAATGTGGCCTCAGATGCTTGACTCTTATTAGCTGTGTGACCCCGAGGAAGTCACTTAACCCCGATTGCCTTGTTAAAAAAAAAAAAGAGAGAGAAAGAGAATATTCTTATACTTCTGGAGCCCTTTATTTTGACACATTTTCCCCAGAATGTCAAAGAAGGATGGGGATTGGACCATTGGTTCCATTGGCCTAGGGAACACCTGATTGAAGAAGCTCCCTCTACCTTAGGGAACTGCCTAGGACACTGAAAAATGGAGTAACTTGCCTTGGGTTGGACAGCTAATATGTGTCAGAAGAGGGATTTGGATTCAGGTCTTCCTCACTTCAAGATCAGCTCTCTAATACTATTCCCTGCTGCCTCTCATGTCAAAGAAAAGAATATAAAATTATACATGGGGTACCAGAGTAGCATCTTTTCATAAGCATTGCTGTGAATTTAGCTGGTATAGACATAGCGTTCAGTATGAACTCTGGTTTCACCACCTTGGTTCAGGAAGCACTCCTTTATGGCCTCTTCTTCCTGGTGACCTTTCTAAAATAGGCTTCTGTTAGTTTATCCTTTAGGTGACCAATGGAAACGTTCTGCCATATTGTAATGCCAAATCAAAACAAAGAGTTGCTTAATGCCCAGGAACAAAAATTGACTAATATTTTTCTGTCAATTCAATAATCAGGATGGTGAACAAATGAACTGCAATTTCATTCCTTTGGATGTAAAATTAGACCTCTGGGAAGATTTACCAGCATGTTTTCAACTGAAACAAAACCGTTCACTGGTAAGAATAATAGTCCTAAACATTCACCTAAATACACTTTATGTTTAATCCTTTTAATGATCCGTTTGTGTTTAATAAATGTAAAGCAATTTGTGACATTCTTGCAGATTCTAATTGTTGGCTGCATTTTCATCAGTTCAGACACATTATTAATTACCACCGGTGCTAATAATAAACACAAAATCTGTTTCTTTGGCAAATGATCACACCTACAGTCACTGTTTCTGTGGAAAGAATCATCTTCACATCGTTTTCTTTCTCATTTACAGGATTAGCAACTGTGGTGTTTGTCTCTGACAGAATCACATTTTATCTTAAAGGTTAGGCTCTAACAGTGATACATTGTGAGAGTGGGAGAAATTTCATGTTGGGTGACTCTCAATTAATTGTAAGGATCATCGAAGTGCAACTTCAGGCCAGGTGCAGCCCAGAAAGGCCTTTAGTCTGTTCTGTGGTTGCATTTATCCTTCTTGCAAAGAGAGGTTAGCTTGCATTGTTAACTGATCCCAGCATGCAGGACAGTGCTTTGTAAGTTATAAAGTATCAAGCATAATGACAATCTGTGTGGGAACAATATTTTTTTTACCCTTTGAATGAAAATGGCATATTGCCCCATGGAATACATAGTTGACAGAGGTTATACATCTGTCTTAAAAGAGAAAATAGTTGTGATATCTGCTCTTTGATGGCTTCTATCCCTGTCTCTCAGATTTTTAGCAAATAGCCAATGTTTTCCAGGCAGTTGTTGACTAAAATGTGGGTGGTGCCCCTAAAACTATTTTGTCCCTTATGTGTTTGATGGTTTTTTTATTTGAAGAATAATTTGATCTAGGTGCAACAAAGTTATTAAATTCTAACTCACTGGTAAATGTAACACTTTGTTAAATATTAGCTCTACCATCATTACAACACCTGTTTTGACCATTTCTGACCTGGCCATTGTAAAGTATGTGTTCAAATAGCCAGATTAGACTTGGGCGAGTGTCCTGTATTGGGATGTTGGTGACAGGATTGTCAGTTTAGAACTAGAAGAGACGTAAGGGTCATGTAATCCGCCTCCCTCCTTTTGCAGATAAGAAAACCAAGGTCCTGTGAACGTAAGTGACTGTCCGTACTGATTCCCAGGATTGTTGAGCATACTGTGGCGTGCCTATAAATTTAACGTCAGAAAACTCTTATGGTAAATGAGACTTTTGTGTCACAGAGCTGGCTATAGGAAGTTCCCCTCAAAAATATCTGATTAAATAAGTCTATCATCAGTATTGTTTTGAAGATAACATTAAAGTATTGGTTTTCCACCTGCTTCACCTGGCTAAGTTATTTGAGGAGGAACACTGCCTGATATTCATTGGGCTTATGATCTGCTCATCTGCTCTTTTCAAAATATCCTTCTCTGCCAGATTTTGAAGTTTGTGCGGGAGTGGAACAGTCTCACAGCCATGAAGCAAAGAATTATCAGGAGAAGTGGCCACATCTTTTGTAGCCCTATTCTGGCTTTGGATGAGATAACAAAGCAACAGACTAAACAAAATAGTACCAAAAGGTATGAATTTTCCCCTTCTTTCTCTCTCCCTTTTTGTGATCATTCCTGTGAGTAATCAGTCATATGACAGGAAGGTATACATTAGCAGCTTGTTTTTCTTGTTGTTCAGTCGTGTCCAGTTCTTTGTGTCCAACTCTTCATGACCTCATTTGGGGTTTTCTTGACAAAGATAATGGACTGGTTCACCATTTCTTTCTCCAGCTCATTTTACAGATGAGGAACTGACACAAACAGGGTTAAGTGACCTGACCAGGGTCACACAGCTAGTAATAGTCTGAGGCCAGATTTGAACTCAGGAAGAGGAGTCTTCTGAACTCTGGGCCTAACACTTTATCCACTGTACCAGCCAGGCGCCCCAACAGCTTGTTTTATAATTATATAATTGGATACTTTATAAACTTTCTCAGAAATAATAGAAGAGGGCAACCTGCGTGGTTCTTGATCACAGTAAGATCCATTTAGGTAATACTATGTATGTCCAAAGGTTGATGATAATAACTTATATTTCTATAGCGCTTTCCCTAAAACAACTCTGTGACTTAGAGACTACATGTATTGCTGTCCCCATTTTACAGATGAGAAAACAATCTAAGAAAGGTTAAGTTACTTATCCATGATAACACAGCTAATAAGCATCAGAGTTAGGATTTGAACCTAAATGTTCCCTGACTCCAAGTCTAGCATTCTACCTAATCTACCCCACTGTCTCCATTGTTGTGAGGAACAAATAACATAATGTATGTAAAGTGCTTTCAGTCCCTTAAAACACCCTGTAAATGTCAGCTATGAATATCACTTTGTCAGTTTTATTCTCTTGTATGGTCCCAAATATCTTGTGAAAATGGGTTAAAGAATAAAATAGGGAGGAATAAAAGGATTTCTTTACCACAGCGAAGGCTCCTTTTAGAGCAGATGACATAGACTGGTAGTGGACCCATTCAGGGCAGTTGGGTGACTTCTAGCAGTGGTCAGCCACATGGGAGTAGAGGTGCAGTGATGAATGTCACAGGGGTTGGTGGTGGTGCAGCCTTAGGATGACCCCTTTGCCAAAGCTGCCTTATAGCTACCCCACCAGCAACATATTAAAAAAGCAGAGATCAGTGACTTAGTGTCCTGCTCTTGAAATATTGCTGACTCCTTTATAAATATAAAATTTGTTTGTTGGGGCAGCTAGGTGGTGCAGTGGGTAGAGCACTGGTCCTGGAGTCAGGAGGACCTGAGTTCAAATCCGGCCTCAGACACATAACACTAGCTGTGTGACCCTGGGCAAGTCACTTAACCCCATTGCCTAACCAGAAAAAAAAATTGTTTGTTACACGTCGGTACTTTTAGGACTTATGATTTTGTTTGTGTAGATTGCAGCTAATTGTTAATTTATAATCTTGGAGAGTTGCCTAAGGCTCAGAGGGGATATATGACTTGCTCATCGTCACATTATTAGAAAATGTCAGAAGAGAAATTTGAGCCCAGGTCTTCATGAGTCCACACCCAGCATTCTGCCTTCTGATCACATGACCTTAGTTGTTATAACTTTAAATAATTTAGATTCAGCATTTTCTGTGTTGCATATTTTTTCTTTCTCAAATATTGCTCTAAAATCTTATTTCTATTCACTGTTTATTTTGGTTGCTTTCTTATTCTTAACTTTGCCCTGTATCATTTCTGAAAGCTTAAACCTTTTCCTGTGCTATATTTTCCTAAATTTTTTCCAGTGCTACCTGACTCAAACATGTGGCAATTGTGTTCAAGAGCAGGGCTTCTTAAATGTTTTCCACTTGCAACCCCTTCAGCTCTTAAACTGTGGCAACCCACAGTTTAAGAAGCACTTCCTAGTGTCTAGGGCTCTGTCTAGCTTCTGTGAAGACCCTCAGATTCTCCGATTTGATCTGATTTGTATGATTTTTCAGATATTTATTCATGGAACTCTTCTAGAAAAAGTAAAAAATTACTCTGGTTCCCAATCCTCTGAATAGATTCTTTATTACCTTTTTAAGTCAGTGAATTTGATTTTCAAGCTGTCTCAATAAAACCGAGGCAAAGCTTAATAACATCCCTCTTCCTCTCAAAATTAGGAAATCTTTCTATTATCAACAAGAGATATTTTGAATTTATTTGTATGGCAAAATATGGCAGAGAAGTGCTGCTCTTGGGGACAAAATAGCTGAATCAATGAGGGAAAAATTCAGGTAAAGAAAGAGTTAAATTTAGGGAACCCTAGAGAAACCCATTATGATTTGATTTTGATGAGATTATTACCAACTTGTTGGACTCATAAGATATGGTAGTAGTCCAAATTATATAAAAATGTGTAAGTTTTGACTTCTTTTCAGAAAGGAAAAAATCTGAGATGTAAACTACCCAGAGAAACTAGGGCATGCTAATTAAAAGGAATTAATTGGATAATTGCATTCCACCTACTTAAATTCCCCTGTTGCTTTAATTGAGAATAACATTCTTCTTCATTTCCGGTCTCTAAACTGTTGTGTGGTATCAAAAGTGCTAGGCAATAAGTTTCTGAATTCTGCTTCAAGAGTGGCTGTATTTTAATGGAAGGTACAGTGAGCCCTATATGTGCTGGTAATTATGGAAATGACCTTCAGGTTTTTAGAAGACAGGATTCAAGTCAGTAAACTATAAAAGGAACTAAATAGTGCATTATAACAGATTGATACCCCCATTACATTTGATTACATAAATTTAGCAAAGCTAAAAAGGAAGGTCAAGAAGGATGTAGGTGAACTGAAGTTAGAGGGTTTACACACAGCACAGGAAATTGGACACCCAAGAGTGGTGGCTACTCTTGTGTACTCAATAAAGTTAAATGGTACATTTCTTACTGATACCCCTGCCCTTTCTGATTTTCTAAATGAATATTTGTCAAATAGATATAAATGGTGTTTGGATACCTTAGGTGCAAAATCATGCAAAAGATAGTTTGGAAGGAAAAAATGTATATGTGTATACGTGTATACATACATATATGTGTGTATGTATATATACACATGCACATACATATACATGTGTGTGTGCATATATCTATATATGAACCCCCAATGGAGATTTGCTAACAAAGTAAATTCCATTTTCAAATTTCAGACCTAGTAATGTTCTGCCTTACATTTTTCTATCACTGATATTGCAAGGAAATCTAAACATGACAGGAAGAAGTATATATTCGTTTTCAACTGTGATATCATAAAAGAGAAAAAATTTAAGTAACTTTCCATTGTTCTAGATACATAACTAAAGAAGACGTTGCAGCGGCTGCTGTGAACAAAGTGCAGAGTGATGGGGGTAGCATCCGTGTGATCACAAAGGAATCTAGGTTTTCCTCTAAAAACCAAACCTCTTCTGCTGTAGAAACATGGGAAACTACTATAAAGTAGGTTTTTCAATGCTAATAAGATACATCATCATACCTTGCCATTTCTGTGGAATTTTTCAAAGTAATTGTATATATGTTAGCTCATTTGAGCCTTATACCCTGTATGAGAAGCTCAGGTATTCCCTATTCAGTAATTTAAAATATAATCAGAAAATGTATTTTTTCTTTTATTCTAATATGCTGAGCAGATGAGTAAGTGCGTTCAGTTTCTAACTTGAGTATAATCAACTCTAAGTCATTTACAAATAGACTGATATTCATCGGCACATCTTACTTTTAAATTTTATTAATATTACCACCTTCTTTACTTAATTGCTTTATTGATATTAAGAGGAACTTTGTTTCTTTTAAGAACTAAAAGAAAAAGTTCTTTAAACCAAAAAGAAAGAAAGAAAGAAAGAAAGAAAGAAAGAAAAGAAAAGAAAAAAGAAAACAAACCCTGTCTTTGGAAGGTTTGAATCAGAAAATATAGCTTCTAAATTTCTTTTCATTCCCATATTTACTATGTATTATAGGGTTGTCGCATCTTATTACACTGATATGCAAAAGTTTACTCAACCATTTCACAAATTGTTGACTATTTAGTTTGTTTCCAGTTCATTGCAGTTACACATAATCATAAGGTTCAAGGGGTTTATCTTTGTGACTTATTATCTGTATTGCCTCAGAGTTCTCCAAAAAGATTCTACCCATTTGCAATTCTACCAGCCATGTATGAGTATAATTTCTCCAAAATCTATGCAGTTTTTTTCTAATTTGATAAGTGTGGAGCATGAACCAGTAAATTTAGGGAGAATTTGAAAGGCTAGCTTTAATGTTGGCTAGTGGTATGCAGCAGTCTAAAAGGAGTGAGGCTTTTTCTCTATGGAAAAGGAAAATAGGGTCCAGAAGCAGAAACTGGAAGTTTTCTTCTGTCTTAATCCTTTTTATTATTTGTTTCAAAATGTTTTCCCAGAACACCCAAAATACTTAATATTCAGATGTAAATAGAAGTAACTTCTAAAGCTAAAAATGAAATTTTAAACATTATTTTGCACTGCTTTACCTTCCATGGTACAGATAATGAAAGAATGGCTATAGATTATACTTCTGGATAACTGGCACAGTGCCTGGCACTTTATAGGTACTTAATAAATGCCAGTTCACTGACTATGCCCAAGAACCTTGAATTTAATATAGGTTTATTCATTCAGACATTCCCATACTATATTCTAGAATACTAGAGTTATAATACTTCAATACAGCTGAGATTTCACAAGTGCAGGTGAAATAATAATAATATATAACAGGTATAACAATAATAACGTTATTGTTGTTAACATTTATATTGTGCCTACTATGTCCCAAGCACTGTGCTAAGTTCACTTTACAGTTATCATCTCATTTGATTCTCATAACCTTGTCTCTGGTTGTTCATTCATGCAATATACATTTATTTAGTACCTACTATATGCAAGGTACTGTGACAGGTGCTAGGGGCCCAAAGTCAAAAATATAGCAGCCTCATCCCTAAAGGAAGGAATGTGTGACATATACACAAACTAATAAATACAAGATGGATGCAAAATAAACACGAAGTAATGTCTAGAGACGGCACTAACAACTGGAGGAATTGGGAGAGTAATCTAATAGAAGAGGGCATTTGAGCTGACCTTTGGAGGGAGTGTTAGAGGTTCCAGGGGACAGATGAAGGAGAAAAGAGCATTCCATACACAGGGACAGCCTATGAAAAGGCATGAAGGCTGGAGACAGAACAGTTTGTACTAGTGTCAGCAAGTAGAGTAATTTGGCTAGAATGTCGAGTGTATGAGAGAGAAGTGTATGCTGAGTTTGCAGAGAGAAGCTGTAGCCAACTGGAGAAGGGCTTTGCAGGTCCAACAGAGGTGTTCATATTTTATCCTACAGGCAGTACGGAATCATTGAAGCTTCTTGGGTGGAGGAGTGACATGGTCAGAGCACTACAAATTCCAGCCCTTCCACAACTTATTAGATTGTTATTATGCACCCCTTCCCACCCCCAAATGCATCACAACTCACCTTCTTGATGAGCTTATCCAGACTTCTGAGCCTATCCAGACTTCTGTGGGCCCAACCTTGAATGACAGCCAGAGTCTGTTGCCAGCCTGTATAGGTGGTTAGGGCTCAACAGAATTTTTCTTAGCTAGCAAAGCCTTGGGGCACCCGGGATCCAGTCATCTTCTTTTTGGTATAAGGAGCCAGCCAAGTAATACTTTATAGGGAAAATGAGAGTTCTAACATACAGCATTTGTTCTCTAAAAGTTCCTCTGCTTCTTCATTCTAGCCCAGTCCAAGATGATCCTACTACACAGCCTTCTACATCTAAAGGATTTTTGCAGGCTATGGATATTGAAGGAAATCCACTTTGTCTCCATTGTCAACAGTGTATTTGCGAATCTGGCCAACAGTACAAAGTGAGCGCTTGGGATTCACGGTTTTGTTCTCAGAAATGTCAGGAGGAATTTTGGATTCGATCAAATAATAGCTACCTGCGTTCTAAAGTATTTGAAATTGAGCATGGTGTGTGTCAGCTCTGTAATCTGAATGCCCAGGAACTCTTTCTTTCTCTCAGAGATGCTCCTAAAAATCAACGGAAGAATCTTCTACAAACCACTTGGATCTCAAAACTCTCTATAGAACAGGTAAAACATAAAAATACCATACTCTGGTGAGTGGGGGTGGGGGTGGGGAAGCAGCATAGTTCTCATTGGCAACTATGAAATGGTGATTTTGAAATACAGAGTTGTAGGAGCAAGACAACCTATGAAAGCTCAAAGTACAAAGCATTATACTGAGAACATGGCTGAGTTTTTGTTGTGTTATAAAATGTAATAAAACCGAAACATTTATGATCCTAAAGTGGCTTATTTTTGACACATTATCATCATAGTTCAATTAGATTTCTGGCCAGATTTTTAAGGCCAAGAACTAATATGAAATTGCAATCTAGAACAAATTTTTATGCTTTATTGTATGGCTGGACAGTGATTACTCTTTCATGAACTACCCAGCTGACTAAAATGCTGGTAATTTTTTTCAGGTTTAAAAAAAAAGAATACATTTTAATTTACCCAATAATATTGAGTTGTAATTGGATTAGTTAATGAGTATTTTTCAACAGATAGATTAAAATGGACATTATAATCTGGCAAAATATTTCAGCTGGAATTTTTGCGTGAATTTTTGGCCTTTATGGGTCTCTGAAAGACATGACTTAATTGCAGAGGGTAATGCCAGACTTAACATAAGAGTGGAGTATCTGCCCAGGAGAGCCAACGTCTAGTTTTCTGTCTTGCTTTAGTCTAAATGCTTCTAGGATACACCAAAGAAAAATAACAAAAATAATTTCAAAATAACATGAAAAAGTACAAAAATTGCATCATATAAATAAAATATTTTACAGCTCACAGAATACAGGTTAAAAGCTTCTGCTCAAGTAATAGCACTAATCAGGCAAAGTTTCTAAGGAGAAGTAGGTTCAGAGGCATCTAGATGACACAGTGGATAGAGCACTGGACCTGTAGTCAGAAAGCCCTAGGTTCAAATCCAACTTCAGACCCTAGGCAAATCTACCTCAGTTTCCTCGTCTATAAGATGATGATAATAATAGCACCTACTTGCCAGGGTTGTTGTGAGGATAAAATGAGACCTTTTTGAAGCATTTTGCTTACTGCAAAATGCTAGCATTTGCCCTGGGCAAATCACTTAACCCCAATTGTCTAAAAGCAAAAATAAATGAATGAATGAATGAATAAATAAATAAGTAAGTAAATAAGTAAATGAACAAATAAATAAATAAATGAATGAATGAATAGAAGCAATGCTAGCATTTGCTGGCCATTATGATTTAATATTTTATTAATATTATTAAGGTGGTGGTCATGGGGACTTCATTAGATCTGTCAAAAAATAAAATGAAACTCCCCTGGAGTTGGAGCATTCCTTATTATCCCTGGGATTCTTTAAGTAAAGTGGGTACACCCCTTGTCAACGATTTAGAGGGTATCCTTGCTTCAAGTAGGGGTTGGACTAAATAGTAGAGACTGAGGTCATCCCTTCCAGCTCTAAAGTTCAAAGAGTCTGTGACTTTGTGGCTAGTGTGAAGAAATGTGTCTCATGGGGAGCATATCAGTGAGCAGTAAGAGAACACCTTGAGGTTAGAAGGGTCTGTCTAATTGGATACTGCTCGCAGCAAAGAAATGTGAATTAGTCAAAGCCCAGACAGATTTTTTTTCAAGGAAAAAAAGTCGTTTTGCTGAGAACCGTGATACTGTTCTTTATATTTGCTTCTGAGAGTGCCAGCACACACACACACACACACACACACACACACACACACACACACACACAGGAGATTATGTGTGTGTGATCTCACAGAATTTGAAAATGTTAGTGTAGCAAATAATGGAAGACTATAACACTAAAGCTGAATATCTCTGACTGATTCAACTCAAGTGTACTACCTGGACTCCTTAGATCCAAACCATTATTGATTAGGTCATTGCCCAATGTAGTTTCTTATAGAATTATGCCAAAGAATTTCATGGCTGCCAGAATGGCAGATTTTGCTAATTTTAGTTTCTTCCAGGCTCAAGAAGAAGAAAATAAAAACTACCTTTAATAGTCATCTTAGTTATATTTAAACATCACCACTGCTGTGTTCTGATTTAGATTTGCTACCCCAGGCAAGATGGTAATATTGCATACTATTTCAATGTAGGTCGTTGTTGGTTAAATATAAAGTGTGTGTATATGGGATGGCCTAAATGGAGGTTATTTTAAATGGTAAACTCAGTATATTTCAAACAAGGATGCTAAAGAAATTTGTATTAAAAATGAGGTTCTAGCCCATATACCTTTGTAATCTGACCTTCCTTGCTTTCCTAGTGAATAGTATGCCTCTGGATTTATCTTACAGATGTCTAGAATTGAGGCCACTTTTACTTCTGTTGAAAACTACTAATATTTAAATTGTCATTGATAAAATAGCAAAGGCATTTAGGTCAGCAATTAAAAACTGCTTGGGTCAGTTATATGCAAAAGCACTTAATTTCCAATCTGTTCCTTTCTTTTCTAAGAATTTTGCTTCAATAAGTATGTAAACTAACTCAAAGGTGCAGTTGCAAGTGATTTTTTCCAATCTGTCAGGAGTCTGATACTTTATACTTGCTTGTAAATTCTATCAAAATGAGTTAGGTGAAAAAAAATCCTTCTTTCAACAACAGATTTCTTATTGCCTACAAGGAATAAACCAAATTGCTAACCCTGGGGTTTTTTTCTCTTCACAATAAAAGCTATAAAAAACCACAGTAATGTATTTTCCCTAGGATTTTGCTGTATAAACATGATTGCACAATGCCAAGCCAACAATTACTCTAGTGTATGGTGTATAGCTGAAAAGTGCTGATGTGTTACGTTTTTATTGCAGTTAAATGAGATGATGATAAACCCTGTAGAAGGGCAGTTCTGGCAGGTGGATCACATCCGACCAGTCTATAGTGGAGGAGGTCAGTGCTCTCTGGAAAACCTTCAGACTCTATGTACAGTTTGTCATAAAGAGGTGAGTCCAAGTTTACACGTCTTTACCTCTCTTCCCCGGGAAGTCAAAATATCATTTGGAATATATTTTTGCAAACTTATGAGGAAGAATCTGTATTTAAAGTGACTGATCTGGTCTAGTGGAGAAATGATACTGTTTGACTCCATTGTCACCTAATACAGTAAGCTACACCTGCTGGCCTTTAAGAGATGGTGCTCATTCTTGGTAACAGATAGACTGAAACATGTAGCAATAAAGCTAGCTTTGAGATAGATCTTCTGGTCCAGACCCTTCATTTGAAAGGTGAAGAAACTGAAACCCAGATAGATGGAGTAATGACCCAGTGAGAGACACAGGGCCAGAGCTACAGTCACTGCTTCCCTAGTCCAGTGCTCTGGGCACTGCCATGCTCTCTCCCGTCTTTCGAGAGAAGCACATCCCTTTCATTTATTTTAGGAACAAGGTATTGTTCTTGGCTCTTGTGATGATTTCTGCTACTCTTCTCAGTAGTTCTTTTTAATCGAGATGTAGGTGGGCTCCCAGTAGAGTCAGATTACCCACAACAAGCCTGAGGACAAGCTAACATGTGACCAGACAACATCATAGGTTCAACCTCAGTTGTGCACTGAGAGATAAGAAACAAGCAGATCCCTAAAGGCACTCCATCCAATCTCTCACAAATACAACAAGCTCTGCAAGAAGTAGGACAAACAGAAGAAGAAAAGAAAGGTGCTGGCACCAAATGTAACTGGGCTCGTCGATCTTGAATGAGTGGTTCCAGAGAGACCTCAGACTTGTTTAGAGCCACCATGTCAGCATCCATAGTGATGTCTAAGAAGACTCTCCTTAAGTTGAGAGAGCTGGTAGTTCTAAGAAACAGCAAGGTTATATATTTGTACTTCTCTGAACCCAGGGTAGCTGGGTTGGGAGGCTTTTGTAAACATCTGTAGTTTTCTGCACTAGATAGAATTCTTTGAATCTAAGCCCTAATAGATTTGACCAAGAACAATACTCAGCTGTCATTATCACCTTTGGGAAAATGCGTGTGCCTCATAGATCTGGCGGTATTGGAAAAATCAAGCCCCTTAAGTTAAAAATGACGAGAATGTGATATCTGCTTATGTCTGAGACCAAGGAAAAACATAGGAATCTTGTCATTTTCATCATTATTTAAGTTTTATTAAGGACCAATGTGCACATAGTGTATTTTACTGACTGGTATAAATCAAGTTAAACTGATGGCTCTCAGAGGCAGTTAGACTGTAAAGTTAAAAAAAAAAAAGGAAGTGGTGTGGTTTATCCATTAGATTTCAGAGGCAAGTTCAGTTAAAAAAAAATAATAGCTTACACTGCATAACATGTTATGATTTATACTTCCCATAGTATTTCATATACATTAACTCATTTGCTACTTTCAACAACTCTTTGAGGTCTTCCAAGGTCCAACTTTGTAGCTGAGGGAAGAGAATGCCACAGAAATTCAACCAATCAATCAAGTATTTATTAAGCATTTATTATTATATTTATTAAGTATAATTAATTATTAAGCACTTGTGTTCCAGGCCCTGTGCTGGGTGCTAGGGATAAAAGTAAAAAGAATAAAACAATCCCTACTCACAAGGAAGTTACATTCTAATGGAGAATACAAGTAAATAAAAATATATAGAGCATAAATGTAGAGATGACTAATACAAATATGTGGAAAGTAATTAAATATAAGGTATTTTGGGGGAAGGGGCACTAGCAATGTGGAGGATGAGGAAAGATTTCCTAAAGAAAATGGTAGTTGAACAAAACTTAAAAAGAAGAGAGAGGCTGTGTGAACAGAGGCAAAGAAGAAATGCATTCCAAGAATGGTGGATGGCCAGTGTGAACACAGAGACAGGAATGGAGCATCATAGTGAGGAACAGAGAGAAGCCTTGTTTGGCTGCATTGCAGAGGCAGAGTGATGTCCAGTGAGGCTGAAAGGATAGGCGGGGGTCAGTGAAGGCCTTTCAAAGCTAAACAGAGGAATGTATGCTGTATCTGAAAGGTGAGAAGAAGCCACTGGAGTTGGCTGAGTAGGAGAATCACATGATCAGATTTGCTTTTGGCAGCAATATGTAGAATGAACTATAGTGATGAGAGACTTAACTTGAGGCAGAGCCATCAATTAGGAGACTAGTGCAACAGCGTAGGTGAAACATGAGGAGGACCTGAACCGAGCTGGTGTCTGTGTGTGTAGAAAGAAGGGATTGGATGTGAGAACTAGAGGGTAACAGGTAAAGGTAGACCTGGTATAATTTGGTAACTGATTGGTTCTGTGAGGTGAGAAAGATGACAGGATTACAAACCTGGGAGACTGGAAGAATGTTGGTGCCTTTGACAGAAATAGGGATGAATTGGGGGAGGGAAGGAGATATGAGTTCAGCTCTAACCATATTGGGTTTGAAATATCTCTGGGATATCCAGTTTGAAATGTTCAATAGACAATTAATGATATGGAACTGAAGCTTGGGGGATATTAGAGAATAATATATAGAACTGAAAGTCACCTATACAAAGATGATCGTTAAAATCATGAGATCTGATGGGGTAACAGAAAAAGCATGAATGGAGAAAAGAGGGCTGAGGACAGAACTTGGGGAAGGAGTCATGATGTGAAGAAAGAGCCAGGAAAGGCACCAGTCATATAGGTAGGAGGAAAACTAAGAGAGAGTAGTGTCACTAAGGAGAAACCATCCAGGAGGTGAGGGGTCATCAGCAGTGTCATAGCAGCACATAGGTAAGGAAGGATGTGGATTAAAAAAAGACTCTTCGATTTTTCAGTTAAGAGGTCACTGGTAACTTTGGAGAGAGTGGTTTCAGTAGAATGATGCCAGCAGAGGCCAGATGTCAAAGAGGAAGGAGAAGTAGCAGATATAGAAAGCTTTTTCTAGGAGTTTTACTGAGAAAGGGAAGAGAGACATAGGACAAGAGTTGAGGGGATGGTAGGGTCTAGTGAAGGAGTTTTTGTTTGTTTTTGAGGCTGGAGAAGACTGGGAGGGGTTTGAAAGTAGTAGGAAAGGAACCCATTGAAGAGAAGGTGATTGAAGTCACATTCTTGTGGAAAAGATAAGAGGAGATGACATCAAGGGCACATTGCTGTAAAGGGGTTGTTGGCCTCGGCAAGATCATATAGTATGTGACAGGCCTGGGACCAGGGCTTTGTGGATGTATGTGCTGTTGTTTTGAATAAAAAGGATCCCTGGCTCAGATTCTTATAATCTAGCCAATAGCTTATTAATGTTCACACTCCTTAAGAGTCTGCCCAATATGACGCCTTTGGCTGAAAAAAACCAAAACAAAACAAAAAAAGGATCTGTTCATAAGCTCTAGTCTCCCTTAAAGAAAGAGAGTTTTAGGTGTTAAGTTCAGTGAACAAAATGAGGCAGGATGATGTAAGATACTTGACCGGGTCTTTCTAAGAGAGTCCTCAATCATCCATCCCACCATCAGAAGTGTAGTTTGATACAACACAAACCATCCTGGACTTGGATTCAGAAAACCTGGGCTGAAGGATAGGCTACATAAAAACATCTAGCGAATAATATGCATTTGGTCAGAGGTTTTTATTTGTTTGTTTTTAAACTGCCTTTTGGAGTAGCATACTGATTGTATTTCACCTATATTTAATGTTATGACCACAATCTTTTCTCTGTAGTTAATGTGGGTTTAAATCAGCTGTGTAGATTGCTAGTATGAGTTTATAACATGAACTGTGAACCTCTCTGGCAAGAGAAAGAAAGTATATGTGATTGTGGGCTTGAAGAAAATGCTGCCTCTTGGAGGCAGCTACATGGCACAGTGGATAGAGCACCGGCCCTGAAGTCAGGAGGACCTGAATTCAAATGCAGCCTCAGACCAAACACTTGACACTTACTAGCTGTGTGATCCTGGGCAAGTCACTTAAACCCAGTTGAAGAAGGAAGGAAGGAAAGAAGGAAAATGCTGCTTTTCCTTTCCATTATTACCATTTTGTTGAGTTTTCCTGAGAAATTTTGAGTAGTGAGTTGAACACAGCTTAAAAGATTGGACTAAGAACCAGGAAATCTGGTTTCCTGTTCTAGTTATGCCACTGATTAGCTGTACATAAAATCATCAGCTGCAAAGCCCTCATATGTAAAAACAATCCAGCAATCAACAAGTGTGTATTAAGGTGATGCAACATGCTAAATAATCTCAAAAGTGCCCTTCCAGCATTGACATTCTGCAGTTCTTTGACAATATCCTAAATTCTTCCTGTTTCTGTGGGCTTGATAATTTGTTGCTGCTGGTGGTCACTTTATGTAGTAGGCCCAGAAAATAAAAAATCTTTTGTCCTGAACTCTGATAGAGATTCTTTACTTCTTCTGAGGATACAACAAGGGCAGCCAGTACTATGCCCTGAACGTTCGTTCAGGCTGCTCCTACAATAACAAGAATATATTACTGAATTACCTGGAGACAACCATGGCCCTCTTCTCTCCAGATGGAGGGAAACACTCAAAAGCTGAGTTTTTTCCCAGGATAAGTTGCCTACCACATTCTCTTTCCCTCCCTCCCTCTCCCTCTCCCTCTCTCCCTCCCTCCCTCTCTCTCTCTCTCCCTCCCTCCCTCCCTCTCCCTCACCCTCTCCCCCTTCCCCTCTCTCATGCAGACACACACACACACAGACACACACTATGTTCCATATATTTGCTCTAGGTGTTTCTCTTTTAGCTCCTTCTGTAGGAAAAGTAGGAAAGGCACTGGGGAGTGCAAAAAAGAACAATGCATTTTTGCAGACTGACAGACCTCCAGTGGTTTTTGAGCCTGTGCAGGTCTTATGGAGATACTTCTTTGTTAAGAGAGCCAGGGCATGCTCTGATATACATATATGTACCTGTGTTGTTTGTTTGTTTGTTTTTTTAACTTTTAGAAAACTGCTAAACAAGCCAAAGAAAGAAGCCAGGAGAAAAGGAAATCTTTAGCTTCAAAGCATGGATCTGACATCACAAGATTTTTCATAAAGAAGTAGAATATTTAGCTGGAGCATAAACGGATTAAATATAAAGGAATGTGAACTTGTGGAATTTTTTAAAAAATTTTCGTACTTACTCCTCTTAAAACTTGGAAAAGGTCAATCAAGAATTTTCAAGATTTACTGTGCCACCATGGCATGAACTGCCTCATTGTTACAATGGCTCACAGCCATTGTTTCAAGGGACACTCAACAGGAGGTATTTTGCCATAAGACACTGGGTCTGATGGCAGAAACGGCATTACTGCAGAGTACTAAATTCCCATCATCTTGGTTTCATTCAGAATTGCATCGGTATTTAGTGAGGTTTTTTTAACCTGCCTTTTTCTATTGGATCTTAATTACTACATCACACAGATTTTGTTTTTTTAAAAAATCTACTTTGCTACTTTTGGGCTGGTGCTAGGATTTGTGTTGGCTTTGGAGTGATCTGGCTATTAAATCACTTGCAGTCCAAAAACACCTCTTTGCTAATATCATGCTTATTTGAAAATCCTGGGTCAGTCACTAAAATTATGCTGAGTATTCAGGAGGAGACCCATATTTCTGAAATGTCTCCAACTTGGTTTCTTACATTATGCATTTTATGGTTTGGTTAGCTTGACTTATTGACAATAAATACACATGTGAAAATAAGCTAATGGGAATACCATATTTATGGACAACTTGGTGTTTCTGGGCAAAGCTACTAATAAAATTATTTCAAAATTGACTTTCCATTTAAAGAGGAACACACTATTTAAAGACTTCATTTGACTGGTTTCTGAAATGTCTAAAATCAAAATTACCATCATTGAAATATCTTCAACATCAAACAGGTAAGCTTTTCATCATATCTAATTAGTTTAAAGTGAGATTAAACCAGAGGCACAGCAAGAATCAGCAGGACCAGCTAAGAAGCCAGAGCTACCTAAAGAACAGCTTAAAAGGATTCAGTGAATAGTGGGAACCTACTGAAAAGCTATGTGTCTATTTGGTTACATTTATTTACATATGTATATTTATACATATACACATACACATATACATATATACATATACACACACGTGTGTGTGCGTATGTATGTATATTTGGTTACAAACTAACCTAAAGATTTCCTAGTTTTTATTGTCATTCTTTGCATTCTGCAAAAGAGTAATAGAAAGGTGGCACAAGATAATATTTCTTTTTAGAATTGTGTCAAGTAGTAGACAACTCATTCGCTAGATTCACTGGATTTAGTGATATTTTGTAAAGTAGGTTGTGTTTCTTTCGGCCTTCTCTCCTCTTTTCTGTATGAGCTTTTGGCAGACTTCTACCTCTGTAGTTAGCTTACTTCAAGGTTAATGTAGGATTTGGCGTAGTTGGTATTTCAGAAACACAAGAGACTATAATCAGAGCCTAGCATGCTTTATTTCCTGTGTCATAGCATGGTAGCAAGTTAGAGTTTGGTAGCTGTAGATCCCACCTGAGTAGTCTCTAGCTGTATGGCTGTAAACTAAAACATTAATCATAAGAGAAAAGACATATGAATTTAGGAAGTAGAACAGATTGAGATGAAATGAGCCAAGAGCATCTCCCTTCATGCCAGGTTTCAAAAATGTTGACCATTCAAAAAGTTTTATAAGATTAAATGACATCAACAAGCATCTGCATGCAAGGTGTTTAGAATTCCATACTCTTCCTGTCATTTTCAACTTACCTTGAATGATGGAGTCACATCTTTTTCCAGGATGATGTATTTAGCCCTTCTAAAGCATATTGAGGTTAAGGTTTTTGAGGCAGAAATCTAAGAGTTAAAATAGATCTGCTATCAAAGACTTCAGACTAAAGATCTCTGCAGGCGAGTTTTTTGAAATTGTTCTTTCTCAAGGGCACTTGCAAAATGGAGCTATCAACTGAAGAGATAAAAATGGAAGTCCATTCCAAAATACAAGGAGGGCGCCAACCCGAACAATGCAGTTTTCCAATGATAACAATAATCCAGAGTGAATCCTCAGAGAGGAAAAGTTGCTACGATATAAGAAATCTATAGTGAGTGGAAATGGATGACTAAGAAAAATGGTTCCCCAAATCTGAAAAGACATAGGAAGGTTATACAGTCTGAGTTATCCTCCCCAAACTAAAACAATATAGTTATTGAATTGGGAATTTTCATGCTAGGAATGAATTGAAGATTTGCTATATTATAAGCAAGAACTATAATTATGTTGTTAGATGGAGGCTTTCCTTTTACATAGAACGTTAGTGGTAGAGCTCTTAAATGTTTTCATTACTTGAGAATGAGGTTTATGTCACAGGGTCTCAACCAGGTCCAGATGAGAAAAATGAATACCAGGTATCAATGTATCTTTTCTTGCATTAACACAGTTCTTGTTATATTTAGTAACACAGCTCTGTAAACAGACTTTGGAAACAAATGAAGATGCCATAGTGGACACATTCATTTGGAACTTAAAAAGAAAAAAATTCACTCAACAATCGTTGCAATTAAATGTGTATTTCTGAGGTTTTTCTGTTAATAACATTCAACTTTTATCACTCCCCCCCTCGTAAATGTTGATGGCACAGATTTTTCTGCTTGTTTCATGTTAATAAATTGAATTTCCTCAGATCTTTACGGGTCATATCTGCTCTCATGTTGTTGCCATTTTAAAAATAATTTCTTTAAAAATAAAAAACAAAATCTTTTCAATTAAATGTCAAAGAAATCAGTGTTCTTAGGCAATCCTAAAAAAATGTAAAACTCCTGTTTAGTAGTAGTATGTGGAATTCATGGATATATATAGAATTCATGGATAGCAGACATCTGAATCTATGGAAAAAAATCTCATTTTCTTTTACATGTTATTAACCTGTCTTTCACTCAGTATACTGTTCTTTTGGACTGGAAAATTGCAAACTACTAGTCACTGCACAAATCCATTTAAATATCCAACTACCAGAAAGTGCCTTATATACCATATCAATTTTTTCAGTTGTTTTAAATTGTTGAGAATGTTTTTCCACATTACTTTTGTTCTTATTTACTGCGAACCAGTTTTATCATCATGGCAAAGCATTCTGGGTTCAGATTACCCTCCCAAACTCCATTGCTCTTCTCATTCTCGGAAGTCGCTGAATGTATCTCTGATGAGGTTTTCGGTTGTATATAGTGGCCATGCTCTTATCACTTTAATATAATGTAAATTAAATTCTGAAACTTTAAAGGTAACACAAATCATTCTGCATTTACACTTCATAGTTTCTGTATATCTGGTTTCTCTGCAACCAGATTTCATCATAAGACTTTCAAAAACCCCAAATGCTAGTATCCACATTTCAAAGGAATAGGAGTCAGTTTGAGCAGGCTCAATTAAGGCCCTTCTTAAGTGGGGAAAAAAAAAATAGTCATCTATTTTTTTTGATTCAACTTACTGAATAATGCATAGAATCATGGTCTGTCAGGATTGGAAGGAACCAGAGATGTCACCTAGCACAACTTTCTACTCAGTATAGGAATCTCTTCTACAACATCCCCAATAAGTACTCTCCAGCCTCTGCTTGAACACCTCTAGTGACAAGGAACTCACTACCTTATTTTGATCCAAGTTTTCCAAAATCCATTATATCCACTTCGAGGTCCCACTATTTAGTACAGTAGGCAGCTGGGTGGTGCAGGGGATAGAGTGCCAGTCCTGGAGTCAAGAAGACTCGTCTTCCTGAGGTCAAATGTGGGCTCAGACACTTACTAGCTGTGTGAGCCTGTTTGCCTCAGTTTCCTCATCTATATAATGAGCTGGAGAAGGAAATGGCAAACCACTCCAGTATCTTTGCCAGGAAAACCCCAAATGGAGACACATTTCATGACTGAAACAACTGACTGGTGATTTAGTACAGTACCTGTATCTAATGCCTTCTGCACCACATCTCAGCTGCAGCCTCACCCGCTAACCTCCCTCAGAGTCTGGGCCTCTTCACCCTGGAACATTCCTCTACCATGCTGATATCCTTCTACAAGGATATTCTAGGGAATTCCTCATGGTGCTGTCATTTGGGGGAGTGGCCCAGGCACCCAGGCCTGCCCACCTTCGTTGTCCATTGTTTCTGACTTTGCAGAGGTCAACACTATGCCCCTCCCTCATTTTTATTCCCCTCCCCCGCCCTCTTCTCCCTGTTTGGTATTGTCTTTCCCCGTTAGACTGCCTTTCTTTTTGCTTGTATTTATATCCCTGGTGCTTAGTGTAGTGGCTGGCACATAGTGCTTGATGAACACTCCTTGCCTTGGTTTGCCTTAATGAGAGTTCCTAATGATAGTGTTCAGTTTTTCTTTTCTTCGTGTCTTGACATGTTTGATGTGTATTAACTGACCTGTATTGGTGCCTTTGGTTATGTAACGATCTCTTCTACAAGATATCAGCTGCCCTGAAACGTACCAGTTAAATATACTGATAAAGCGTAATTTACATCTCTCTATCTCTAAGACAGACAACATGACCTAACATGAAAAATCCACTCATGTTTCCGTGTCTAGTCTAGACTTGTAGAGAAGAATACCTTCTTGCCCTACAACAGCGACTCACATCTCTGACAGAGTTTGAGAGTCAGGAGTTTCTTTGGTATGAATGGATTTGGTGAGGATCAAAAGAGAAAAACATTTATGTTTTGTTAAATTCAATCCGGCTAAGTAGGAAAAAATTCAATGATTTGCAATTGCAAAAAATAACTTCCCTGATAAGTGAAAATTGATGTCATTTTCTTAACCTTTTACTCTCTGGTGAAATGCTGTTTGCGTAGTGTTCGTTGTCCTTAAAAAATGAATATAGCAGCTTGCATTGTTTATCATTAATAACAGTAGCTTGTTGAGTACTTTGACGTTTGCAGAGTGCTTTACATATATTTTGACATTTGATCCTGAGACAGATCTTTTTTTTTTTTTTAGGCAGTTGGGGTTAAGTGACTTGCCTAGGGTCACACAGCTAGTAAGTGTCAGTGTCTGGTCTGAGGCCGGATTTGAACTGAGGTCTTCCTGACTTCAGGGCCGGTGCTCTATCCACTGCACCCCCTAGTTGCTCCTGACAGATCATTTTTTGGACCAGCCCTGTGATTTTGGATGGTATAAGCCACCCTTATGATGAAACAGCCTCCCCCAATGAAGATTGGTGCCAGTGAGGGGAGGGGATTGGAGCTGGGGAGGAAAGCCACAGGTGTGATGGATGTTCCAGGGAGAGGAGGTGCCAGGAACAGAGGGAGGTTGCAGGGTGATTCTGCAGCTGAGGTGTGGTGTACCCATGCACTAAATAGTGTGCTACCTCAGAAGTGTAAAGTCCAGTGGAGGCATTAAGAGGTTTGGTGACTGGCCCAAGGTCACATCACTAGTTTGTGTCAAAGGCAGGACTTGAACCCAGGAGTTCTGGATTTCATGGACAACTTGCCCTATTTTTTAACTGGATTTTCATATATAATTCATAATATATATAATTTCATATATAATTTGTTTTTAAATCACCTGTGCAGGCCACCTCCAGGCTTTCTGATCTGTATCTTGCCACTGGACCCAGATGGCTCCAGAGGAGAAAGTAAGGCTGATGACTTTGCACAGCCCTCTGTCACTTAAATCCAATTCATTTGCAAGTCATAGCATCACCTCCCTGATGTCATGGTCCTCTTCAAGAATGAAGGACAAACAACAGCAGCTATATCTCCCTTGCCCTGTCCTAGAGAGCCATTCTTCATAATGGAAACAAAGAAGAAAAAAAACCAGTTTAGCAAAACTGACCAACCCATTTTAAAAAGTGGTGTTCGACCCCCAAAGCCCCCCACTTCTACAAAGAGGGGGAGAGGCACCTCTTTCTTTCTTTGGGGCCATGATGAACACTATCATTACATTCTCAGCATTCTTTACATTTATAGCATAATCCTAGCCATTGAGTGTGTTGTTTTCTTGGTTCTGCTTTCTTTACTTTTGCCACGGTTTGTTTAACCATTGCCCTTTTGTTGAACATCTCATTTGTTTCCAGTTCTTTACTAATAGAAAAAGTCCCTCCATACATATTTTAGTGTATATGGGACTTTGTTTTTATATTTTACCTACTTGGGGTAAATGAGGCTGTCTTTTATCTACTGTTTCTTACCAGACAGGTAATTATAGGTATTATTATGCCCCTTTTACAGAGAAAGTGAAGCTCAGGTGGGTCACCTTGCTAATAAATGATAGGCATAGGATTCAAATCCACGGTTCCACTCTGGGTCCAGTAGTAAGGCAGGACTGCAGTTTCAAAAACATTTAGAAATTGGCTAAAATAATTTTAAACTATCTTACATATCTAGAGCATGTGGCTCTGAGACTTTGAGTGTTTGGCTAAACCATCAGTACAAAAACCTCAAAGGCAAATGGGATAGTTGGAAAGAGACCGAAGCTGAAGAACCTGTCTCCTGGGCCAGGCCCAGCAGGGTTGTCACACTCTGTTGGTAAGGAGCCCGCTGCTGCCACTGAGAATGATGGCCCTGACAAGAACTTAGGCCCCATTTTGCAGCCACTGAAGAAGTCCTGTTACATTAATGGGGATTCCTGGTGTGAAGGTAGATACACAAAGGAAAGCTATTTTTGTTATAGCTGATTGAGAAAGTCTCTATGCTGTTTTTATTGGAGTGGATAGCCTAAACTGCCTATTCCATCATAGAAATAATAGAAAATGCACTTGGCATTCATTTTGTTTTACTTTCTTCTTTTGACAATGTTTTTGAGTACTTAGTATATATGCATCTGTTTAAAGAATCTTTATAAAGACATTCTCTCCCTTATGAATCTTGTAATTATCAGTTCAGAGTTGTTGTCTCACATCACCTTGTATGGCCTATGTTAATAAGCTCCTAACCTATCTCTTGGCCTCCAGGCTATCCTGTTTCCAATCCCTCCTTCATTTTACTGCCCAAGTAATTTTCCCCACATACCAGTTCCTTGCCCAGGCCAAACACAATTGGATGTCTGAGTAGGTGACCTATTTTAATTGGAATACTTCAGTTGATCATCCTGCCCAAAAGTATCCTCCCCTAAAAGGGGATGCTGCCAGGATGCGAAAAGTCCCCACATTAGTCACTCCTGTAAGAGCCCTTGAAAATGGAGACTGTGTCATTTGAATAAGGGTGCAATATCAGCTTAGCATGAGTTAGTTTATCATCTTCATTGTAAAAAATAAAAAAACAAACCAAAAAACCAAGAAGTCTTTGAAGAAGAGGCCAAAGAACAAGTTGTGTCTGGGGTGGGAAAGGAGGAGGTAGAAGAAATGTAAGGCTTATTACATTTCTCACTTGCCCTTCCTGGAAAGGCAGGCCTAGGTAGGGTCCCCTAGGCAGCATCAGAACACTGGTTTCTTGGGGTACAAAAATATTCAAGTGAATGCAAGGTCACAGAGAATGGGATGGAGAGATGCTAGAAGCAGCCCCTTCCCTGAATTTCATATTTGGTCCTACTAATTATTATTAATCCACAAAGCAGGTAGGGCAGAGTACTTTTTACCTTAGCAGTGGAAAAATAAATAAAAGATACATTTTCCCTCCTATCCTGACAGAAATGTTCTGTCTTGGAAATTTATAAAGAAGCGTCAGTGTATTTTCCCCATCACCTTTTCTC